ACTGGGATTACTTTGCTCGCGATGCGAGCTCGGCTGCTAGTCAGCATGGGTTGACACGTCGATAAGACCATCACGGCGAACCGGTCATTTGAACGTGTCGGATGGTTGTTAGTGCAACGGTGATCTTGGACATCTCCCATCTTGATGGCCTGCTCAGCGCAGGCGCTTCTGCGCTGACCTGCCGCTGCTGGCAGCAGAATCCCCTACAGCAGCAGCACATCTCTTGCGCGGCTTCTTCGTTGCTGGAATGGTGTCAGAAGCATCGGCAGCAATGGCCGTAGAACGGCGGAACCGTTCAGGAATACTGCCTGAACCACAGAGTGACTAGAAAATGAGTCTGAAGTTTAGAACTGCTGCGAGATCGCGGTTCAAGAGCCGAGACGAATAGGCTCGCCTGCACTGTGCCATGGCCCGCTTACATGACTTGCTTGTACAGCGGAGAAGGCCATGGCACTCCACCACTGAGCTTTTCAGTCTCTGATAGAGGCGCAGGTGTATATTAGCCACTGTTCAAAGACTCATTCGGGACTCGCGTTACACGAAAGTCCATACATATCCATGCCAGGTGCTCACGTCACTAATCTCTTTCCTCTCATTTGGCATTGACGCTATCTACCGCCCTACATCTTCCACAATGTGCTCTAGGCCACCAGCATAATCTGTTTCAGAATTTATTGGATGCGGAATAGGTGAGAATCCTTGTTGGCAGCAAAGTGCTTGGAGACCAGTCTGCGCAAAACATCTTCTGCGATGCTCATATGTGGGCCATCGATCATCTCAAACTCGACTTTGTTTGCCTGATGAAGCTTGCGTAGTCCAAGCCAGTCTTCCTTGTACATGGTCGTATTCTGCACAGGTATATCGTTTCCATCTTTGTCAGTGAACCCAAACCATGCTGACCCAGGCGGAGAGATCATCTGCTCTTCGCTGAACTGCACGAGCACGAGTCTTTCGAGGCTACTCAGGCGCTTCTTATATTGCTCATTCTTCTCGTCGAGCTCGTTGTTGATGTCGGGCAAAAATATGCTGTACTGCAAGTACTGGCTGAGGCGAGCAGGATCTTTAAAGTACTGTGCCTGAACCACATGATCACGGATATACCACGAGTACACACCCTTGCTGGCCAGCTGGCGCATCCACCGGCACATGGCTGAGCTTGGATCGGTGCACTCAGGAACTTTAGCCACACCCATATGCGGAGATCCAAACGTTAGAAGAACCTTGGGCTGCAGCCAAGTACAGCGCTGGACCAAGGCACGCAGAAACAGCCCACCTTGCGAGAATCCTATCATATTGACGTCCTGGTGTAGCTCTGGGATGCCAGCCAAGTCGTTGCACACCTGCTCAAGCTGGGTGTTCAGGTTGCCGAAGAATCCAGCATTCTGATCAGCATTCTCGCTGTTGCCGATCCGCACTGAGTGTACAAAGGCACCAGGAAGCTCGTCGGAGACTATCTGTGCGACCCAGCCCATCGTATCATTATTGCAGCAGGTATCTCCCATGCCATGCCAGAGAACAACCGGCGCATGCATTCCAGATAAGCCTGCTGCTGCTGCTGATGTCACTGCCAGGGCGTACGAAAGTGAAAAGGTAGAAAAGAGCTGCATGCTAGTGAGGGGAAGCCACTGATACAGGATAAAATACTGTGCTATTGTGGTGCATGCCAAAATCCAATGCTGGCATTCTTTTGCCGTTGTCAGCCGCGGTCGGAGGAATATGGTTTGTCCAAGTCTCCGCTCAAACCCCGACCTTGCCCTTGATATACTCTACATTTCTCCTTTTCTAGCGAGGCATTGATATTACTCTGTCCTGAAATTCTACTAGGGACTGGTTGCGCGCGCGCTCCGCCGCTCTGGTCGGTGGAGATCGGGCGTTCGATGCCAGCTCTGGGGATGATGAGTCATTTATGAGTCAAGCTCGGAAAGGACCCTAGACAAAAACAGGGTTCATGACGACTCTTTACTTGAAGCTGACCTTTTTTTCGACACTCTTTTTTCGCTGATGAGGATATCCAAATTGCATGTCCATCTAGAGCGAAAGAATAGTGTGGCTTTTAGTGATCCTAGAGCGGCGCTTAGTCGTCAGCCGGGCTGATTGGCGGTAACAGCGCATCACTCGACACATTTGACACTAGTGACGGTGACGACGGCGTTGCCGACTTGGGGCTGATCCTGTCTCTTGACTCGCTGCCCGACGAGTGCGCGCTACACGGTGACCGGCTGGCCTGTGAATGTGTGCGCTTGGGCAGATGCTGGGCGGTGCTAATGCTGGGCGAGCCCCCAGAGTCCTGTTGAACGTCCTTATTCTGGCAGATTGCAGAGCCAGTGTGATTCAGTCGGGGCTGCGGTGGGCCCCTGCCGCTGACCAGAGACGACCGCAGCGAGGACACTGGCGATACGCCTGGCATACTCACTCGACTAGCCAGCGGAGTGCGCAGCGCCAGTGGCGACTGCGGGTTGGCGGACTCTTCATCTGACGAGTGCAGCGTAGGCTCGGTGCCAATGTAGCGTGGCCGCTTAGCCATTGGCGACTCGAGCAACGATGGGGCAGTCAGTGCGCGCTTGCGGCTAGCCTCCGTTGACCTATCTATGCCCTCTGGTCGCTGTGGCACATAGCTTGTCTGCACGACTATTGATGGCTGGTGTTGCTGCCGGCGAATGTATCGCGGGATACGCTCTGGGCTACGTCTGTCGTCAGCCTGTGCCATGGCAGCTAAGGCTGCAGTTGCAGAATTTGACGACGGCACCGACGACACACGCTGCGCGGGCTCAGTGTTGGAGAGACTGTCAGCGTTGCTAACACCCAGCCCAAACCCGCTTGTCGATGGCGCAGTGCGTGAGGCAGACGGACACATGGACCCCACCGAACCCATGCGACTGCGCCCCAGCAGCGGCAGGTGCTGCTTCTGCACCATGGAGTAACGTGCTGGTATTTTCATTTGCTGCAAGCGCAAGGCTGCTGGCGGAGAATGGTGGGATCGCAGTGCCTCCAAGTGGCGTACAACCCGTCGCGGTGGACGAATACTGGCATGCAGAGCACGCTTTGGACGTGTAAAGAATTCGTCGTCGGTCTCAGTAGTGGACCCATCATCCTCGTAGCCATTCGCTACATCTATCGGACGCCTGAGCTCAAGTCGTTCTGCGCTAATATGGTTTCCGCTATGCGGGGATTCAGCAGTGGGCTGCAGGCCGCTGGTCTGGTCTATCAGACTGCCAATGGATCGTCGGACCGTGGTGTATGGTCGATTGGCAAAGAACTGCATGTCGGCACTCTCGGTGGTCTCACCAGATATTGTGGTGTTGTGAGGTGGCTCTAGCTGGTCGCTGTCATCCGCCGTGATTACATCGACACCTGCCTCATCTATGGCACTCGTGGCCATGGACTGATCGGTCTCCGAGCCTAGAAACTGGTTAGACACATTGGAACCGATTTCTGCAACCAATGATCGATGCGCTCTTGCGTGTCTGTATGCGCGCGGAACTTCCATGCTCTGCTGCCGACATGATGGCGACAGCGGCATTGGTGAACCGTTTGAATACCCGTCGTCGTCGTCGTCGTCGTCATCATCATCATCATCATCATCATCGTAATAGCCCTCTACCTCCTCTGTGCCTGTGCCTGTGCCTGGAAGTGCGCTGACATTCCCAGTTCCCTCTGCATGCACACGATGACAGTACCGAGGCAGCCGCCGGCGCATCACGGGCTCCGATGCTGGTGACTCAATGAAGCTGCCCAAAGATGGATTCAAGGACCGTGGTAGCATCTGCAGGCCGCGTGCTGATGGGCGGGCTGGTGTGCGGTATGTGCGTCGCTCAGCTGATGTTGGGAGTCTCGGCGGTTCGCTTAATTCGTGCATCCGGTGCGTTGGAGTGATATTACGTCGCGGGGTGGTCAGGGCTTGCATCAGTACTGGCTCGTCTTCATCATCTGTTGATTCGCCATTGCCGGGTCTCTGCTGCTGGCAACCACCTATGTTTTGCGGGTACCCGCTTCGTCTACTTGTGCGCAACGCAGTAGCCGACATGGGCAGCGGGGGCCTCCCAATATCAGTAATGGAATAAACGGTGCGATTTCTGGCTATCCGGTCACTAGCAGACATAGCTGGCTCGGCCAGCTGCAGATCAGATGTTCCCTCTGACGGCTCCCTTGATGATACCCTAGGCATACTAGGTGATGGCCGCAGATTCGCACTGTGGTATCGGGATTTCAGCCGCGCGCTATACGACCGCAATGTCTGTTCGTCCTCCGATACTGTATCACTACCGCTGTCCTCAGCACCATCACCATTTCTAGTCAGCAACCGTGCTGGGGTGACATTCTGCGACAAGCCAGATCTTGCAAACGCAGGCTTTGGTGTGTTGTGTGCCATCCACCGCCGGCGTCCTGGTAGTGGTGGGCTTGTTGCTGTGACAAGCGCTAACACATCCAGCTGACTAGCTGGAATTGCAGATGCCACTGACACTGGCACTAGCGACCCAGGCTCTGACACGTTGTGTGCGATGCCCACTGCTGCGCTGTCCGCTTTTGCTTCCTGCAAACCCGTACCTTCGCTGATAGCGTGCGAGAGGTGTGGTTTGGGTGTTTTTTGGTCCAGCCGCATTGCAGCCCGTGTGCTGGGTGAGTTGGGCGGCGACGGTGATCCAGAATGCGTACCAAGTGAGCCTCGCCGCGACTCGACATGCAGCATTGCTGGCATCTCCGACTCGTGCTGCTGCTTTGACGTGCTGGTCATGGCTGGCGGAGATGCCAGCGATGCCAGGATTCCAAGTGGACTCTCTGTGGCGTCTACATATAAGGCCATGGCATTAGCAGCAAGCTATATGGATTCTGTATGATAAGCAACCGCTTTGCCAATGTGTTACCTTGATTGATAGAGCTGTGCTTGCGAACTGGTGTGGCTTCTTTCATTGCCTTTGTGTGTCTATGTCTATTTTTGAGTTTCTTTGGCCGATCGATGCAATACAATTTGCGATCTACAATGTCTCTAGTCCTAACGGCGGCAAAAGCGTCTGTGCGTTAGTAGAGAAAAACCTAGCCAAGGCTGCAGATTGAGCTGGAAGAGGAACCAGCAAGGAACACGAAAGCAGCAAAAAATGGTGTTGCCGGAATGCAAGAGTTTGGCTATCCCCCTGTGGGTAAAGCGGCCGGCCATTGCACTATTCTCCTTACAGATCAATAGAAGCACTCTATTCGGCAGGTCGTGTGCGGTGGTACATAGAGTGAGTCGAAGAACAAAACGAGAAATGGACAAGAAGACGCAGGAACACAAGCTTGATTCGCAAACGCACCACCCCACTTCCACTATACAAGTAAGCAGAGAGGCAGCAAATTCCTTTCCATGCCACGGTGTACTGCTGAGGAAGAGAAGCAGCAAAGCCATTTACAGGTCGAGTGCAGTTTTTCGCGAGAAAGGCACAGGGCGTGGGTGCAAACAGGCTGGCAGTTATCTGCGTAGTTGGTCATGCGTGCGCGGCTCGCAGTACTATCCTCTGTCAAATCCAAACAGGTGTCCAGCGATGCCCAGACATGAGAATACCCGTAGCACGGCAGCTTTGCAGTATGCAGAAAAGCTCAAATTGCACTGTGCTGGCAAATTTCTAGCGTACCTGAATGTAGACACTGCAAGTGTAGTCTAGTGGCAGCAGCCAGTACACTTGTGAATGCCGCGAACCCGAATGTCTGTGCAGAGCAGGCGCTTCCCCCTCTTTGTGCTAAACAACCAGCGTCCAGGTGCTTGGCGCCAAAAAAGACACCCAGAGATAATGGCAACAAAGGGTATAAAGAGAAAAGGGGACAGAGCCGTGGAGTCTGGAGGGTCGACGTGAGACAGAGCGCCTTTGTTGACAATAAAAATACGGAATGTACTCAAGGCCGCGACCGAAATTCAAAGGAGGCAAGCGTGCGAGGGTATAATAATAAGAGGAAGAGCTACTGACGTGTAGATACAACGCAGGAGGGTGGAGCTAAAGGCGATAGAATGCGGATAGCATAGAGAAACCAACGAGAACACGGGTGAAAATGATAAACAACAGTTTTTTCTCCAGGCCAAAGGAAAAGGTTGTTTTGAAAATGGGCCACGCAGCCAATCATGCAATCAAGCGCATTCTCCAGAGCTCGCCAAAGTGAGGGCGCTGTGCGGAGGAGGCTTGGAAAATGGGCAGACGTATCCAGTTCGTATCAAGGCTGCTCTAGTTGCTCAACAAGGGAAAAGACATCATCAGCGAGAAAATTTTATCTGCATGGCACGGTCTGCCGCGATCCTGAATCCGTCGAGCACATCGCGAGCGGCTGCGGCATCGCGCGCTGACTCGTAATCAACAAACGCAATGCCCTGCTTGCCCTCGATCTGGCGCACCTGGCGGAAGCCAGCATACTGCTGGAACAGGCCCGCAAGCACATCGACCGACAAGCCCTCGGGCAGGTTGGCGACAAACAGCGTGGGCGCCGACACCCCCTCTGCATCTGCACCCTGCGGCCCGATCTCCTGCTCTGGCGCTTCCTCGGCTGGCGGCATGGGCCCAATGTCGCTGTCGTCGTCGCTGTCGTCGTCACGCATATCCTGCTCGCCATCAGATTCCTCGTCCGCGTCCCCAACAGCCCTCCGCTTCGCCTCATGCTCCTCTGCTTCCTCGCTGGCTTGCCGTTTGGCACCTTCGGTGATCCCCAGCAGGCGTTTCCGCTGCTCGGCGCTCGTGTGCTCGCGCTTCTCGCCATATTTGTACGTGCCGTCCTTTTGCGCAACCACGTCCGACTTGCTGAGGGCATATTCTATGCAGAGCGGTCGGCCAAAGACTGTGCGGCCGCTCAGGTGCCGCATGGCTGTGGTTGCGCTGGCGATGTCTGAGAATACTATAAACGCCTGGCCGCGCATTTTTGTGGTCTTCAGAGCAACAATGTCCAGGACGCGGCCGTACGAGACGCAGAGACTGTAGAGAGTCTCCTTGAGCACAGGCTTCTGGATTTTGTCGTTCAGGTTCCGTATGTACAGCGTCTGGTTGGGTGGTATCGCGGCCATGGCTATGGATAAATATGCAGATTCGCAAAAGCAGAATTTTCACGGAAATATATTTCAAGCCGACGTGGCCACTTTGCACCTTGTGGTATTGCCTGGATTTCAAAAAAGTTTACTGGCATCATTATCTTGCAGCATCAGCGGAGGCTGCCAAAGCCGTGGGACCGGGCAGACCGGCCAAACCCGCCCATGGTGTGCATCATGTCGAAGCCGTCAAACATGGAGCCGCCCGGGCCATGGCTCACCAGCGGCATGTGCTTGTTGCGACCGGCCTGCAGTGCAGCATTGGCACGCTGGGCCACATTGCGCACGGAGCCCACAGCGCTGGTGATGGCGCCTAGGTACGCGGCGATCTCGTAGTTGGTCTCTTCCTGCGCCATCGCCTTGTTGAACAGCGCATCGTCCAGCACCACAGGCCTGTTGCACAGCACGCGCTTCACCAGCTGCAGCACGTCAGGGTCGTACGGCGCCGTACCAGCGATGACCTGGGAAACATACGCCTGAAGAATACGGATGTCCTTGTGCAGCATCTCCAGTGCGTTGCGCTGGCCGGTCAGGAACATAGCGATTTTGGATGCATCTGCCAGTGTCTTGGCCGCCGCTCCGCCCACCATGGTCTCATCAGATACCATTGTAGACACGTTCGCCACATGATCAATGGCCACGCGCTCGGCCTCGCCGGTCTCTACAGCGATCCGTAGCGGCTCCAGGCGCGATGCCCATGCGATTTGGTCGTTGGCTGGTGTATTGCTGGTGTCCAGACCCTCGACGTAAATGGCCGGCTCCTCGTCATCCATCGCGTCACCATACAGCGCTGCCCGCGGCACTGCCGCTGGCGCCTGCGTCTCATACACGGCCACCGGCAGAGCCAGCCCGCTGCTGCCGCCCTCCTCGTCGCCCTGCCCCGCCATTGCCGCGTCAAACACCAGGAGCAGCGGTGTTGCATTCAGATTCATGATCTGCTGGTGCAGCGTACACATCAGCCGCGTCACCCGCAGGCTGGACGACACAAAGTACCAGCCAACAAGGTCGTCCTCGGGGAAAATCTGCCGCATGTGGTCCATGCGCTTCAGGTAGTGGGTGCTGTCAAGCTCGTACGTGCCGTCGTTGCGCGGCTGCCGGAACACCAGCTCAAACGAGTGGAACAGCTCGGTACGGCTCTCCTTCTGCCGCCCCAGTAGGGCTCCGCACACAAGCCCGGGCTCCTGCTTGCCGTGCTTGGTCTGCGCCAGCGTGCGCGTCGCGTGCTCTGAGATGTTCAGCAGCACCAGCGGGTGCACTGCGGCCGTAGCTGCGTTTCGCGAGGTCATTTGTCAGTAGGCCGTGTGGATTGCTGAAAATGGTCTTAAAACTGAAAAAAGTGTCAATTCGGGCTTTCTGCTGCGGGGAGAACAACAGAGAAGAGTGACCCTGGCCAGCCAGTCCGCTGCTGTGATGGAGCTGCAGCTCTGCCTGGAGTGCTGATGTCAACAGCGCCTGCCCCATGCCCCCGGCGAAATCGTCGCATAGAATACAAGTTTATTTTATTTTGCGTCGAAATGGACTCTAGTCGAAAGCGAGGGCTCTTGTAGATGCTGCGGCCGCTGCGTTACGGCTTCCGGAACTCGGTCAGCACCGGGTAAATGGCCTCGAACGCCTGGTAGATCTCACCACGCACCTTGGCGCCGGTCAGCACAATCTTGCCCGACACAAAAATCAGCAGCACGATCTTGGGTTTGACCATGCGGTAGATGAGGCCAGGGAACAGCTCTGGCTCATAGCTCGAGAACGTCCCGTGCGAGTATGCCAGGCCCTCGAGCCGGATCGGGAACTTGACGTCGCACGACCCGACGATGTTCTGGATCTTGAAGTCTGTGAACTTGGCCGGGAACCCGAGTTTTTGCACAATCCGCGCGTACTTGCGTGCCGCCAGCTTTGAGTCGTCCTCGGACTTTGCGCCGGTCACCACCATCTTGCCCGACGCGAAAATCAGCGCTGTGGTCTTGGGCTCGCGGATTCGCATGATGACGGCCGCAAAACGCTACTCAGTACACACAGCACCGTCAGCATAGAGTTGGGTGGATGAAATGTGAAACATGGATGCGCCGTGCGTGGGCTGGCCCCAGAGAGCTGGAGCATGCAAGGACGCGCCCCCCACTCCACACACACGGGGAGGGAGAGACGACCACTACCCGCGTGCCGCCTCCCCCACCCGCTGCGCCTCTTGGCCCGCAATAATTACCTTTGGATTGTACTCGGCGTTGCGCGCATGGAGCGCAATCGTCTTGAGGTCAAGACGGCAGTCCAGGTTGACCGTTGCAACAATGTTTCTAAGCAGTATTGGCAAAGATGGGCTTTTGAGAAACAGTCCTACCAACCGACAACACACCCGTCTCCTCTCTTCTGCAACACTTACTGTAATGTGGGCACGATGCCTGCGACACCAACGATGCCGTTCTCTGCAGCGGCGTCGTCGCCACCAGCAGCCGACGGCCCGGCCTCTGCTGGCGCTGCATCGGACGGGTTGGTGATGGCCGCAACGCTGTTGCTCCCGTTGCCGTTCGGCGACTTTGGCAGGCTCAGCGACTGGTCGCCCTGCACTGCGCTCTGTGTGTTGGGGGGCGTGACGAAGGCCATGGTATGTGCTTTTGTATGTAAACTGAGGGAAATATACGCGTGTGCTAATTACAGGATAGTGCTTACACCCGCCACTGAGGACTCGTCAAAACAAATTGGCAGTCCAGTTTGACGCGGGCTGGGTTTACGGGAGGCAAGCAGTCCACAAAAATAATTTATGGCCACAGGGAATGAGGGAGTGACGAGGCTCTAGTTGAAGAGAGAAAAACGCGCTTTCTCGTGCCAGCAACTGAAAAGTACTCGAAAAATGCGAGTGCTAAGGGATGGGGGAATGAAGGGGAAAGAGATTCGTGATGGGGAAGTTGGCGCCTTTATAAAGCGAGCCAGATTTTGGCGGGCGCGACTGGGCCCTTTTATACTCGCGCCGCCCACGCACTTATGGCGAGCAAGTGGGCTTTTTTCTGGCCCAATGTCAGTAATGGAGAAAATTTTTGATTTTTTTGGGGCGAGAGGGGAGACGAGAGAACCAGATATGTCGCGTCCTGATTGGCCGCGCCAAAACAATTGGCGTTTCGCAGCAAAGCGGCACAGCGATTGGGGGAACAGCACAGCCCCCATCACGTGTGGGACGATGAAGAGTGGCAGCGAAGAAAGCACAACCGGCAGAAGCGCGGGCCGTGGTGCAAGGGACGAGGAGGGGAAGGACATGGAGGATATCCTCTGAGGCTACCAGGGGATGTCTTGGGAGACCCTCGGCGGGCCCATCACAGGGAGGACGAAGACATTGGGAAGAGCTATTAAAACACTTATTAGAAGAGGCGGAGGAGAGCAGATGCAGAGAAGAAAGCGCTGTGCCCGCCTGCTGTGCTCCACCCATGCCAAAATTGCTGGGGAGGCGGTGGCGCTGTCCACAGCAGAGAATGGGCTGCAAGCACTGATCCGCGGATCAGCATTCGGTGATCCATCCGATCAGTGCATGAAAGCTGACTCGGTGACACACCATGGCCACTAGGCCGCCAGCGAGGTGCGGCATTCTCGCCAGTGCCACTGGACCATGGTGTGCCTGCGATGTCGGCGCAGACTTGTTGCGCTTTTGTGCCTGTCATGGCAGCCTACACGCATCACTACAACTGCTGAATTGACTGCACTCGCTGGGATCCACTCTCGCTCGCACTGCTTCCTTGCCTGTATATTTTCAATATATAATAGGCACCAAGGAACTACAATACACTGCCACACTCGACCGGCTTTGTGCCCGAGAATAGGGCAGCCAATCCATACGCTATGCTGCGATACCCCTGGCCCTCCACCTGGAACCCTGCGGTCTTCAGCTCCTGCAGGAATTCAGGCGGCGACGGAAATGAGAGTGCACTTCTATTCAGACGCAGCGACATGGTCCGATCTCCTATGGTCCCAGTAATAAGGTACAGAACAAACTGGACGAGTAGCCTCCTAACAACCTTCCCAATGCGCCAGGTCCCGGTATTAAACTCTGCAACATATATCTTCCCCCCTGGCTTTAGCACACGCATGGCCTCACTCAGTGCCCTGTCGCGGTGAACCATATTGTGCATCCCGAGGTAGCAGCAATAAATGTCAAAAGTGCTGTTCTGAATATCAGATATGTGCTCGGCATTACCCTCTATAAACTCGACGCGGCCGTCCTTGACCCACTTGGTGTTTCCGAGTCGTCTCTTGGCAATATCAAGCATATCAGCATTTAGGTCAACAAGGGTAGCAGTGGATGGCGCGTCGTGGTTGGCTATGTCTTGATACTCAAAAAAACACATAGCCATATCCCCGGTTCCAGCTGCCATATCCAAAAATGCCACTCCTGGCGCTGGTGCAATTATTTCCATGCCTCTTCTCTTTGCAATTGCAGCCAGTGGAATGGAGGATTCGCTATTATACTTGTCATACACCGAAGCGAGTGCAGAATATGCTTCGTTCATGTCCGCCTGCTTGCTAGATATTGGCTCGCCATCGCTGGTGCACACATCACCAGCTGAAGAGTATTCTTCAAAAGTCATGTATGATGTTATTCGCGCCTGGAAATTGTTGGAAGGAAAGAGGAATGTGCTACTCGCACGGATTTTTTTTCAAGCAATGCCTTTTTGTACTCTTGGGTGTGATGGTTAGAGGAGTGAACAATCTTGTGAGCAAGCCGCCACCCTTGGATTTTTTTCCAGGAAAATCCAGTTTTGCACTATACAGAGGAGCACAATGCATTTCCGCATCATTTTTTGAATTGCCAAGCTCAAAACAATAATATTCCTACCAGAATTGCCCTGCTCGCGATGCAAGCTCGGCTGCTAGTCAGCATGGGTTGACACGTCGATAAGAGCATCACGGCGAACTGGTCATTTGAACGTGTCGGATGGTTGTTGATGCAGTGGCGATCATGGACATCTCCCATCTTGATAGCCTGCTGCTGCACGCCTCTTGCGCGGCCTCTTTGTTGCGGTAGTGGTGCCAGAAGTATTGGCAGCAATGGCCGTAGAGCGACGGAACCGTTCAGGAATACTGCCTGAATCACAGAGTGACTGGAAAATGAGCCTGAAGTTTAGAACTGCTGCGAGGTCGCGGTTCAAGAGCCGAGACGAATAGGCTCGCCTGTATTGTGCCATGGCCCGCCTACATGACTCGCTTGTACAGCGGAGAAGGCCATGGCACTTCACAGCTGGGTTCTTCGATCTCTGGTAGGGCCGCAGGTTGGGAACATGCCGGAATGTCTGCAGTGACTTTTCGCAGCAGAACGGGCACATTGACGATGTCCGGAATTCGTTGATCAGATGGACTTCAAAGCCATGGTGCTTGAACTTGTCGCGCCATCCCTTGCCACGAATCGGCGCATGGTGCCGGGCCATCGGCGCACTCCAATTGCCCATAATTAGCACTGGATCTGGACCGAACTTGCTCCGGAGTTTTGCGGCAGGCCTGTGGTCTGCACGGGCCTGGTTCATGAATGAATCAAGGCGCAGCTTGCGGTGAAGCAGGTACACCTTGGGACTTGTACTGACACCTGGATAGTCCTTACAGCGCCTCTGGTGCTGCTTGTTTGACTTAGTGAGCTGCTGCTCTGGTAACCTTCACGCTGTCATCGTGCCGGCATAAAACGGTGCTAGGACACACCGCACAGATGCATGGGCAGCAACGTAGGCACGGAATTTTTCTGGGCTAAGGGTCCGGCAGCAGTGCTTGGAAAGCTCTGCCTCTGCTCTGCGGACAGCATCTTCTGGGACTTGATCCTTTGTAGCCTGACGAATCCTGTCGTAGTGGCGCAGCTTGAGCTCCCTATTGCGCTGCTGCCGTGTGTAGCGGTAGAGCATTTTTCACCCTCTTTCCCATTGCTGCTATTTTCGTGCATCATGTATAGCAAATCGCCCCGACCTGGATTGATGAATACACAGCGGCCTTTCAGATTCTGCAGCTCTGGCTGTGGGATCTGGTGGATATAGCGACAGTCAGCTATAGTATTGCCTCCCGCAGCATCAGCATCTACTGCACAATCAGCCTTGAATATCTTGTCTTGCAACAAAATGCATATCGTTACACTATCTGTTGTCGCCATTCCGTGGAATTTTCTATCACCATGCGCCTTAAATGGCTTTGATGTTAGATCTGCGACCCGGCCCCACACATCCCACACAGATTGTGTAATCCCTTGGACCAGGTTGTGTGCACAGACTGGGGGTGCTGGTGCATATGCATTGTTAAGTGCTGCAACAGTGTCTGCTGCTGCTGCATTGGCGGCAGCAAGTGAATCAGCCGCCACTGCTGTAGTTGCTGCAGTGGCCTCTGTTTCATCTGATGGCATCTTCGCTGCTTCGCGTGCAGCCTTCTTGGCTAATTTTTCGCCCTTTTCTGCTGCTTTCCTTGCCTCTGCTGCTGCCCTCTTTGCCTCACTGATCTTGGTAACCTGCTCGCGTGTTTTCGAAGTAAACACCTGCTTAATTATTTGCTTGTCTAAGCATACATGGCCTGGGATCCATGATGTCCGCAGAGGCAAGCATTGGGGGGAGACTTGCCAAACTGCTCATTCTCTATAAGCTGGCATAGGCGAATATATGCACGCAGATGCTGAAGTGGATTTACCTTGGCATCATAGTATCGGCTGTCTTTGGCGAATCTGTACTTGGCACCATAGGCATTGTTAACCTGGGGAATGAGTGGTTACAGAATATATGGAAAAATAATGACTTCTCAAAAATTGACTGAGGGGAAGAAGGAAGGCTGGTCGTCTATCTGGGCCTTTGTACATATGCGTTTCAGTCTTGTCTATGGTGGCGCAGGGGGACTCCGGACCCCGAATGTCAACAGGCATTAAGGACCAGTACCAGCTTGTTGCAGATTGCAAGCATCGGTGGGGTGAGCACACTGAGATCAGGGTGCCTAGAGGCAACTGCTTGGTGGAGCTTCTGTGCAGGTGTATAAATACACACTTGACATGAATTATTGAACTCAGCCTTGCACACATTGCCTATTGTACTGTGCAGTGTGTTTTTGCGGCTGCGAATATCAATCAATTTGGCCAGAATCCGCTGTAGGCAAGTGCCATAGTGCAACACAATGTTGTTCTTGTATGCTGTCATCAGCTCGGTATCCATGTATATTGCTACTTGATTCATTTCACATACACCATGTAGCTCGGCATCGCCATTATGCAATAGATAATCATAAATATGGTATCTAACTATATCACCGAAATCTGTGCTCGACAGTTCTGACTTGTCCTTCCGGTTGACGAAATCCTCGGCAGATATGACAGTCTTCGCCTTCAGGTTGCGATAAATGAATAAATAAATTGAGCAAAAGAATCCCTTTTTTACAAATGTTGCAGGGTCAAAAGCATCATCGTCAGATAGCTGATGGAGTAGTATCCATCGTGTAAGCATGTATGTATGCTCTTTGATGATATTGACGCTGTGTACAAATTGCTCTAGGCGGGGCAACATAGAATCACGGAAGCCAATACCACCAAGTGATGTCTTTATGACAGTAGTGCTGCGGTTAATATTCATTTGAGAATTTCAATAGGCAAATAGGAAGTGGAATGATGTTCAGTTTTGCTGTATTGCAAATGCATAGCATTAAGAACTTTTTATTAAAAATGATCTGGCTTGCATGGTTCTTGGGGCCCTTAGCACTGATACAGACTCTTGAATCAGTCTATACAGACTGGGTCCATTGTGGCCCAAATGCTACCATATATGTGTGTTCATAAGACAAATTAATTTATAAAATAAACCCACAAATATTGCATGGCTGCTAGAAGAGCTATATGGCCTTATTCAATAGGTGCTCATAAATAAACATCCTAAGTATGTTGTGCAGCTGGTGATGACCACTATGGTGATGCCATGGGAGTTATTAGGCCAACTAACAATGAGAGCAGCTCTTATGCTAAACCAGTAGAGATATCTAGCAGAGACTAGTGACTACTACAATAACAAATTATTACCCTACTTTCGCTGATGAGGTCAGATATAATATAAGATCAAAATTAGTTTATAGAGCAAGTTATATAAGCTTACTTTAAGGCTTAAATAATTAATCTTTTAACTAATTAATATATTTCTAATAAGTAGTTAGGGATTTTTAGACTATAATATCTTATATATGGGGGTTATACAGAGATACTTATCTGCCCATTAATTGTTTATGCATGCTGTATCTAGTGGCAATTTCAGTAAAATGGCAAAAAAATATTTATATTTTTAAAATCAATTATACACACAAAAACATTCTGGACACAATAATTAATAATAACTATGAAAAAATAATTAGTAGTAAAAACAGTTCTGAAAATGATTATTCTAATATCTAACTAACAAAATTGTAATTTACTAAAATTTATAAGTCCAGGAATGACCCCCTATAGGTAAAGGTAATAAAAGAAAATTATGTATATTAATATCTTGATTAGGCTTTGAAAAGCATGTGATAGTCAATAGGTGAAGTTAGGCTATTAAGTCATTTCATATATTAGAGGTTATTCACAATTACTAAACTAGGTAATAATTATTTTAATCTTCTAAAACTTTTTGTACTTTTATTATTTTTGTGCTTCTATGAAACCCCTATTGGCCTCCTGAAAAATTTTAGTTGATTTCTTATGACCCAGCCTCTATCTTAGTAGAAGCATATTAATTGTGTATCAACTGAAATTTTTTAGGATGCCGAAGGGGGTTTCAGAGAAGCACCATATTTGGCATCTGAATAAGAAAATAATAAAAATAATAATAATAATTAAATAGCTAACCAATTCTGACTGATCTCCATTTCTCTCTCTCTCTCTATTTACTTAAAAAGACAAAAGCCTATGCATAATAGTTATAAGCATTTTTATTAAAGAATTATATATTTAGAAATGAAGCCCCAGTGATGGCAATCAATATGGATTGCATATTTCTGCTATACTACATAGTGTTCATTTACATCCAGCTACTAGTAGTCTATGCTCATAGCTGATACAGATTTCTTTACTATGCTATATATAATAGTATGGTTCCAAACCCTCATGATATCAGGAACCTATGGATCAAGACCCTTAGGCCACAATGGCCAGCCATACTATTCAAGGCAGCCAGCACCACTACTTAGATGGGCACCCACCCTTTTCGCCTGGTGATTCCTCCTTCCTTCTTTCATATACCATATTTCATACATTCAATATACATTGTGGAAATGTGCCTGGAAAGTAAACGTATTCCAGACAGTTGCAGGAGGCTGTTTATCTAAGTGTATCGTATCTGAGACACAACAAATAGCATAGTTCTTTGTGCCATTTCCACCGAAAGTTTGTGTTATTGCGCAAAAGCTATAAAGTATACAGAAAGAACTGGTGGCATAGTACTAGTCGGTATATACTAGCATAGTATAGGAATTTGCCCAGTGTGCCGATACTGCTGCAGTTGCACGATATCAATTACACTGGCGAATCCGACCAAAGAAAGCATACTGAGTATTTGCAAGCATCGCTACTCTTTTCTTTCGCCGCACATTATAATCTCCGTCTAGAATGTTGAGGGCTACTCACCGCGTAGTCATGTCCCCAAACATCGGCT